AATTCCCAGCAACCACATGGTGGCTCACAACCATCTGTAATGAGGTCTGGTGCCCTCTTTTGGCCTGCAGGCATACACACAGACAGAATATTGTATATATAATAAATAAATAAATATTTTTTAAAAACATTAGCCAGCATACTAGGCTTATGGCCCAGGAGTGTCAAGAGCCTCCTAAATCAGTCCACCTGATGCTGGGATTATAGATATGACAACACTATGGCCCAGCTTTTTGTTGTTGTTTGTTCTGTTTCTTGGTTGGTTGGTTGATTGGCTTTTCGAGACAAGGTCTCTCTGTGTAACAGTCCTGGAATTAGCTCTTGTAGACCAGGCTGCTTCAAACTCACAAAGATCTGCCTGCCTCTGCTTCTCCAGTGCTGGGACTAAAGGTGTGCACCACTACCACCTGGTTGGTTTTGATTTTTTGAGACAGGGTTTCTCAGGGTAGCTCTGGCTACAGAGAACTTGGAAGAACTTGCTCTATAGACCATGCTGGCCTCAAACTCACAAAGATTTGCCTGCCTCTATCTCCTGAGTGCTAGGATTAAAGGTGTGTGCTACTACTGCCCAGTTTTTTCTCTTTAAAATAATTTGTGTCAGATGGTGGTGGCACATGCCTTTAATCCCAGAACTCAGGAGGCAGAGGCAGGCAGATCTCTGTGAGTTCAAGGCCAGCCTGGTCTACAAGAGCTAGTTCTAGGACAGTCAGAACTGTTACACAGAGAAACCCTGTCTCAAAAAATAATAATAATTTATTTGTATTTTATGTGCATTGGTGGTTTGCCTGCATGTATGTCTATGTGAAGGTGTCGGATCCCCTGGAAATGGAGTTACAGACAGTTGTGTGTCACTAAGTGGGTGCTGGGAATTGAACCCAGGTCCTTTGGAAAAGCAGCCAGTGCTCTTAGCCCATCTCTCCAGCCCTCTCCTCCCCCCACCTCCCCCGTTTTAACAACTCCCATGAGTACTGATCCCAAGAATCAAAGCTCACAGAGGCAGACTGTGATACAGGCAGCATCTGGCTGTATCAAACTAGCAAGACCAGAATCTAACCTAGCCAGAATCCTTGGCCAGATTTTCTCCCTCCATCTGCTGCTGACTGGTTGGACCAGGTAGTCAAGCTTCTTGTCTGGGTCTCCATTGGAAGTCCTTGCATAGGAAGTGGAGGAGGAGTTTCATGGGACAAGAGAAAGTCCTTTATGAGCTGTCTACCCCCCATGGAGGTAGGGGAGAAAGGTGCTGAGCTATGTTCTGGAGTTGTGGGGAAGGGGTAACCTAGCAACCCCTGGACTCTGCACAGTCACAATGCAACAGCTTTGTTAACAGTTCCGACAAGCTTTACCCTTGATTAGTCTTCTTGTCCGTCCTGGTCAGGCACCAGGGGCTTCTTGCTCATATGCTGTAGGGACATCTTCCTGGTAAGTCCTCTGGAGGGCAGGAAATGAAATAGGCTCTCGCTCTAGGTGAGGACAAAGGAACGGAGCATAAGAGGGCATCTTGTGGTTAGCTTGGTGGTTATCTTCAGATCTCTTGTACCTGACTGTCAGGGAGCCCAGGGTCAAAGGCAGAGGAGAGCAGGGATGGGCTACAGTGACCTCTTCTGTTGCTCCTGTTAGGTCCCTACTGACCCCTCTAGTGTGGGTGGTGAGCTCATTGAAGCAGTTTAATGGGTCACGTCTAACATGCATAAAGCTAAAACAGACACATACACAAACCAAATAAACAAAAATCATAAAAAGCAAGTATCCACGTGCATCACATGTATAGCTACTGTTTTAGAGTTTCCCATATCCATTGCACATGCACACACACACACACACACACACACACGTGAATTGAGACCCTAGGAAAACTGGATTTCATGTTGTTGTGAGGTCAAAAGCATTAGAAAGTTTCTATTCTAAAGAGTACCTTTTCCTGTAGGCGGGTGGATGAGGGACTTCCAAATGCCCTGTCTTCAAGCATGAAGCATCTAAGCATCTAAGAACCCAGCCCCTGCCATCTCTGATACCTTCCTGACGCTTCCTGAGGAGGGAGCCCCTCTCTCACTGCTTTTAGACAAACCATCAGGAGCTTGTGAATCAGATGCTGGATGCTGGTCCTTGGCTGTGCAGCCTCAAATGAGGCAAGCCATCATTTACTCACCGGATGGAGGTGGCACTGAGGCTTCTCAGAGAGCCTTGCAGTTCTGTGTCCCTGAGAGCCATTCTTAGAATGCACTCAGTCCCACCCCTCGCACTTGCATCGACTTAATCATAATTCTTGGTTTTTGACATTTGTCACCTTTCATCCATTTTCTTTAATTGGTTTGCTTAACAGTGCACTAAACTGTAGTCCAGTACAAGAACGACGGCATCACCAGTATCACATCTCCTGTGTCCTCTTCTCCTCCTTGTCCTACTCTACTTGTAGGAGCTGGTTTTTCTCTTTCCATCATGTGGATTGCAGGGATTAAAGTCAGGTGTGGTGACAGGTACCTAAAACTGTTGAGCCATCTTGCTGGCCCTGTGAAACTTTGTTTTTAAAAAGTATTCCCAAGCTGGGCATGGTGGAGGAGCTTTTAATTCCGGCACTCTGGAGTCAGAGGCAGATGGAACTCCAGGTTTGAGGCCAAGGCTGGCCTGGTCTACATACCAAGTTCTAGGCTAACTAGAGCTATTTTAGTGAGACCCTGTATCAGTGGTTCTCAGCTTTCCTAATGCTGCAGATGGCCCTAACCATCAAATTTTGTTGCTAGTTCATAGCTAATTTTGCTACCGTTACAAATCGTAATGTAAATATCTGATATGCAACCCCTGGGAAAGGCTCATTTGACCCCCAAAGGGGCCGTGACCCACAGGTTGAGAATCGTTACCCTATGTGTTTTTTTTCTAAATCATGCTAAGCACCATGTGTGTAAGATTTATCCATGCCGTGGCCGTCACTATGGTTCGCTGCTTCTCACAACACTCTAAAAGCTCCATGGTCTGAACGTAGCCCAGGCTCACTCATGCTTCCAGATATATGTGATGGCATTGGGTTTTATTTTGTTTTTTGCTGTTTTGGACCCTCTGAACAGCAGTCTTGCAGACAAATAGTGTTGCACATCTGTAGGAGTTTTTCTCATGTCTGGGAGGGTAACCACGGGGTCATATAGCGTTTTACCACATACTGTCCCCTTCTCCCCTCAGATTGCCCATTCCAGTTTGTGCACCCACCACCAGTCCACCAGAGCTGCGCCATCCATCGAGAACACTGGCATTAGGATTTTAGTCTTTACATCTCTCGTTGCAAACCCTGTGATGACTACGGAGGTGAAAACCCAGGTGGCTGAGCAACCACTAGTGAGGTGAAGGCCTAAATGCACACAGGCCAGAGAGGAGTGTGTGTGTGGGGGGTACACACCAAGGAAAGTTGAGGCAGGACAGAAGACAAAGGTAACCTTGGAGGAACTTGGTAAACAGGGGTCCAAGTTCTAGGAAAGACCCTCCGTCACCTTGGAATGCCATGCACCAGGGCCTGGGTGCTGAGTTGGCGTGAGCCTCTGAACTATATGCTAGGAGGCAGCTGGAGTACAGGAGTTCCACAGTTTCCAGTGGCTTCCCCTTATTTGGGGGGAGAGGAGGCTACTAACTGCCACTTCAGAGAAGCTTTATTTCTTTAAGTCCTAGACAAACTAGAGCTGAAAGGAAAATGGAACAGGAAACTCAGGGAACAGCCCAGTGACATCCTCCCAGGAATCAGGAAAGGCACCCCTGGCTTAGCATATTTCCCAGCTCACCTCCACTCAACCAAGGGACCTCCCTCCAGCCAGGGCCAGGAGGAAAGGGTACAGCAGGCCCTCCTGGGATACCTTTAGCTCTAGACTGACCTCCTCCTCATCCTTCAGGGACAGAGGCTAAGCATCCTCTGATCCTGGGGCTGAGGTGTGGTGCTGGGAACCTGAGACAGCTGGTCTCCAGCCTAGCCCAACAAGACAAGAGCTGGACGCTTCTCTGCCTCCCCTCCCTCCCCCCCCCCAGGTATCTTTGGTGTCAGCTCAGCGTCTTCTGGGAGGGACCACATGGGGAAAGGACTCGCTGGGACTAGCCTGACCTTGGCTCTAGTCCTGACCCCCGGGTGCTGAGTCTAAAATAAGAACGGCACAGGGGAGGGTGACAGCCTGAAGTTGCTTCTTGGGATTGCCAAAATTTTGGTTTTGGGAGAGGCCTCTGATGGGGCCAGCCGCTGTTTCCAGAGAATATATAGAGACGGGGCTTTTTGGTGTGGTGACTAGGTGGGTCTGAGGCTTCTCTTTCTGGCTTTAGATCTGGTCTCAGGAAGAAAGCGGGGATCCTGGGAGGTTCCATCTGCTTTCTGACAGATGAACCCCAGCTCCCTACCAAGACAGAAGCTCACTAGGATCGGATGGCATCACTGGGAAAGGATTCTGGGGGAACAAAGCTTTGGGGGTTATAGGGTAGGGATGCCACGAAGGCAGATTTCAGCCTCTGAGACTTGGGTTCTATGATAGGCACATGAGTCCTGAGCCCTGTGAGCCGGAGGAAACACCATTCGCCTCTCTTTAACCATCCTCCTTCAGTCCAAAGGCAGAGCCTGAGCCCGAGAAGAAACCAGAGCACTTTCCGAAGAGCCACGGGGATGTGGGATTCCAGAAAGAGCCTGTGGTCCCAGGCATTGTGGATTTCGAGTTGATCCAAGAGGAGCTGAAGACCTCCTCTAAGCCCCAAACACCAAGTGCCTATCGCTTCGGACGCCTCAGCCACCACTCCTTCTTCTCCCGGCACCACCCCCAGCCACAGCATGTGACACACATCCAAGGTAAGGCCAAGTGGGCAGAATCTTGCTACAGGGCCCGGCAAAAGTGGGTATCACTAATTGGTCATGAAATCTGGTATAGACGTGCACATTCTTATCCATTTCCCGGCGAAGCCTAGAGAGCATGGGGCCTGAGGAGCATCCCACGGCTGCCCAGTGGCCAAGCCAGGACTGACCTGGGGGATTGGAGGAAAGTGCAGGCAGCAAGGGCATATCAGAGGTGTCCCCTACAGAATTCCCCACCCTCTGAATCAGAGAGAGGGATGAAGGTCTCACCCCCAGAACGACGCTCTGACTTCTGACACTCGCTGCCTCGTCCTTTTTGCCATCCATCCATCCATCCATCCACTCATCCATCTGCAGCATATACAGAGTGTGAACTACAGACTGACACTTGTCTGGACTCCAAGGACATGACAATAGGCAGAACAGACCACTGTCACTGCTGTCCTGGAGCTTACATCCAGCTGGGAAGGATGGGACATAGACTAGATGTCACTGTCAGATTCCAGAGGGGGAGATGGCCACTTTCAAAAAGGTTGTCAGAAGAGTCCTAGTCAGTGACAAGATAGTGAGAAAGACTAAAGGGAAGCAAGGGTGGGAGCCCGAATCAATCAAGCACTAGAATGTCCTGCAGAGGGACACAATGGCCCTGGCTCTGTTGGGAGGTACAGCAGGAGGGCCCCTTGGGTGTCTGGAGCAGAGTCAGAAGTAGAAGGGAAGAGATGGTTTCAGAGAGACATTGGAGCTGGATCAGGTGGACCCTGCAGGCCATTGGTGCTGTCTTAAGTCACCTCAGCTTGGCATGTGTGTACTTGTATAATGCTGGCATCTGGAAGGCAGAGGCAGAAGGTCCTGCCTAGCCTCAGCCCCCTAGGGAGATTCTGTCTAAAATCTGTAATAACAATCACTTCACTGAATCAAGTGGGGGCCATTGGGAGGGTGGCAGTACAGAAGTGACCGCGAGAGGTATTTACACAAGGTCCTGCTGGCCTGAATGGAAGCCGAACCATCAGGCTGTGGAAGATTCCACAGCTCTAGTCTAGCAGTACAGAAGGAAGAACCCCTAGGATTTTGACCACTGACTGAAAGTGAAGCATAGGGCAGATAGGCAGCGACATCATTCCTTAATCAGAGTACACAAATACCAAGAAGCCATCAAGGGTCAGTGGAATAGGGGATAGAGGTGGGGAGGAGCCACAGATGGAGGAAAACAGCCCCAACAGCCTGGGGAGATGCACTGTGAGAGTCATTTGAGAAAAAAACAGGGCTGGAGAGATGGCTCAGAGGTTAAGAACACTGCCTGCTCTTCCAAAGGTCCTGAGTTCAATTCCCAGCAACCACATGGTGGCTCACAACCATCTGTAATGAGGTCTGGTGCCCTCTTCTGGCCTGCAGACATACACACAGATAGAATATTGTATACATAACAAATAAATAAATATTTTTTAAAAAAGAGAAAGAAAGAAACAATGCATTGTGAAGACACAGAGTTTTGGATTAAGAAGTTGAAAAGACAAGGAGACATTAGAGAAGAAGAGGAGAAGCTGAAGAGTGAGGATCCTGGGACCAAAGCAGTCAAGGCCTAGCCAAGCTTGGTGGCCTAGATTTATAATCCGAGAGCTGCGGAGGTGGAGACAGGAGGATCCCCAGTGCTCATGGGCCCCCTGGAGCTTCTGGGAGTCCACCAGGCCCCTCAACCCACAGGTCTCGTCTCCCCTGCAGATCTCACCGGGAAGCCTGTGTGCGTGGTCAGGGACGAGTTCTCTTTGGCACCCGTGACTCAGTCGGCGCTCTTATCCAGCTCTCTGATGGGGATGCCCACCATCTCAGTCCCCATTGGGGACCCACAGTCCAACCGGAACCCCCAGCTTCCTCCTGGTGAGTACTTTGGCCACACCCTTCTATCTGAAGGTTCATACTTCTCCCAAAGTGTGTGGCTGGGCAGGGGCCTGAGACGGAAAGGGACATTGCTCTTCAATGGGCCTTCCTTTCTGTTTTGTTCCCCAGGCCCTAACCCCCTGGATTTGAGGGTTTTTGTTTTGTTTTGGTTTTGGTTTTTCAAGACAAGGTTTCTTTGTGTAGCTTTGGAGCCTGTCCTGGAACTCACTCTGTAGACCAGGCTGGCCTCGGACTCACAGAGATCCGCCTGCCTCTGCCTCCCGAGTTACTGGGATTAAAGGCATGCGCCGCCACTGCCCAGTTGAATTTGAGATATTTGAGGAGTAACAAAGAGCCAGAGTCAAACTGATTTTGCACACAGTCGTATGACTTGGAGCTAGAGACAAGAGTGACACTTGTAATATTTAGTGACTGGTGCGCAGGCAGCAGTTTTTCAGCCCCCCCCCCCCCCAGCTGCTTTGTTGGAGGGACTTTAGAGGCCAAGCCCTACTTTTCTGCTGCTCAGGTATGGGAGGGTCAGGAGGGTGGGGTTGTGGTAGAAATCCTGTTGGAACGGAACAGGGTGATAGCTAGTGCAGGGCAGAGAAGTCGGAGGGCTGGCTGAGGGATACTAGACCTGTCTAGAAAACAGTTCAATGTCTTAACAACAGGCGTGACATCTTTTCTGAATCTCAGTGTTGGCTCCAGGCATCTAAAAGGGAAGAGAAGCCAGATCAAACTGCTGGTGTTTAGACACGGTAGCCTAATGCCCTCCAGCATCCCCCGGAGAGGACTCAGGGAGACTGTCAACATTAGCAACCCTTATTCCACTACGGTTTCTAATGCTTCTCCCTCGGGGCAGAAAAGCTTGTAACGTGGAGGGGGCACTTCCGCCTAGAATCTTTCCCCTCCGTCCCAGTCCTGATGACACGGGGAGGGCAAACAGGGCTCCCCAAGATCTTGTCCTGTCCTCTCAGACCTCTGGAAGAAAAATCTAAAGGACCTAGCTTCCCAAGTGGCTGTCTTCACTAAGGAAAACGAGTCAAGGACTAACGAGGCTGGTGCTGAACCAAAGAGCGAGCCTGGAAAGAAAGCCTTGGTGAGTCCCTCCAAAGCTCTGCCACTGGCCTGAGAGGGGGTGCTCCTAATGGGGGCGCAAAAATCACACCTAGCAGAGAAATCCAAGAAGGGTCCCCAGAAGCACCCTGTAGGGTCATCCATAGTTGCCTATGGGGAAGACTTCTGAGCAGAGCCCCCAAGCCCATTTGGGACACCTCTAGGGAACGGAGCCTGGAGCACAGGGTAGATGTGGGTAGCGACGGAGAGGTGAGAGGAGGACTTTGAGTGTGGGAGGAAGAATTTCTTCCAAACTTCCCCACACAGGTTAGCATCCAAGCTCCTCTGATGTGGAGAAAGGTTGGAGGTTTTCAGACAGAATGGGATGACTTCACAGGTGCCCTTCAGGGACAAAGTGGTAAAGGCAGGTGGTCTTGGGACAGACCTTTGTAATGGAGTGTGTTTTGGGGTAGTCCATGTGTAGAGGAAGGACATGGCTGCTTGTCCCTGCTTGCAACTGATGCACTGAGGTGCTCAGGATAACACAGTCAAGAGTGCGGGTCTGGTTTTCTTTAAAACGTGGAGAAAATAGCTGTGGTGATCACTTCTCTCATCTCAGCATTAGGGAGACAGAGGCATGGCTGCACACTTATGGCGTAGCCTGTTCTGCACAGCAAGTTCCAGGCCTGTCGGGCTGCTCACTAAGGGCTTGTCTCAAACCAAATAAAAGCAAAGAAAAAAAATGGGGAAGGGGGTGTTTACACGCTTTAGCTGGAATTACACTGGCAGGAGGCTCTAAGCCTGCCCTGTACCCAGAATTTCCCAGGGCAGAGAAAGGGTGTCAAGGGCTGGGAAGGCAGCTCATTCAGAAAGCACTTGCCAAAAAAGAAAGAAAGAAAAGCACTTACTTATGAGCATGGTGGAGCATGTAATCTATCCCTCCCAATCCCTCCGGAGGCAGAGGTTCTGGGATTGGGGAGCTTTGTGAGTTTGAGACCAACCTGGTCTACACAGCGAGTTTTGATACAGCCAGGTCTATGTAGAGAGACCGTCATTCAAAAGCAAAAAACACTCGCCTTCTAAGCCTGAAGACCTGAGTTCAATCCTCAAAGCCCACATTTAAAATGCCTGAAGGTGGGGGCAGGGAGTTGGCTGGAGGAATGGCTCTCTAGCCAGTTAAGAGTGCTGTTTGCAGGCAGGTGGTGGAGCACACCTTTAATCCCAGCACTCAGGAGGCAGAGGCAGGCAGATCTCTGTGAATTTGAAGCTAGCCTGGTCTACATGAGCAAGAGCCAGCTCCAAAGCTACAGAGAAACCCTGTCTCGAAGAAAAAGAAAGAAAGAAAGAATAGAAAAGAGTGCTGTTTGCTATTACCGAGGATCCAGATTCAATTCCCAGAATCTACAGGGTAGCTCACAACCATTTGTAATTCCAGTTCCAAGGGATCAGCAGAGGTCACTGCACACATGCGGTGCACTCCAGCCATGCAGACAAACATTCACACACATGAAATTAATCTTTAAAAAAAAAATCCTGGCATAGCAATGCATGCTTGTAATCTTTACTCTAGAGAGGCAGAGATAAGTGATTTCCAGGTCAGTGAAGGACCTTGTTTTGGCGGGGCTTGGGCGGGGGGAGGATGAGGAATGACACTTGAGGTTGTCCTCTGACCTCTCTGCACACGCATACACACTTGAGCAAACGTGTACCTGCATACACATGAAAATGCAAAAATACAGGCAGACACACGTGCACACAGGCAGACACACATGCACACAGGTAGACATACACGCACACAGGTAGACACTCACAGAGAGGTAGCAGGCAGAGAATAAAGGACATTAAGCTGTGAGTGTGAGGAACAGACCTCAGATATAGGAGCAGCTGAGCTAGGAATCAGGGTTGACACGGGGGTCCTGGCCCGGGATACTGCTCCCACACCTCCGACTTGCCTCTGGAGGAGAACGAAGACCACTGGGGCTATAGTCATCCAACCCTGGGATGCTGGGTTAGGATGCAGAAGGAGCCAGGGAGGACCTGGGACAGGATGGAGATGGCTTGATAGCATCCTAGGCCTGGCCTCTTCTTCATTTCCCCCCTGCCTTCTCCCACTTTCGTCAGCTCCTAGAGTCTCTTGTCACTTTCCTTCTAGCCAAAGGAAGAGCCTCCTGTGAGGGAGCAGGGGGCAAAGTACTCAGCCGAGACTGGTAGGCTTATCCCGGCTTCCAGCCAAGCTCTCAGCCGCCGCAATCGCCAGGGCCAGCGGGGCCACCCTTCTGCCAGAGACGGAGGAGCCCAAGCCTCCCTTCTGGAGGACCAGGAGCTGCTGGTAAGCCCCACCCTGGAGGCAGGGACTGCAGTGGTCTCAGCCTCCAGGATCCAAGGTCTTCCAGCCAGCACCCTCCTGGCCTGCCTTAGGGTGGCTTCTCCAGAGACAGTGACCCCTAAGACTGTAAGACCACAAAGACCATGCCCCAGGAGTCAGCGTCCTGGGCTCTGAGCTCCTCTGCTTCTAGACAGCCTGTTGTCATCCTGACCCTCTCTGTGTAAGTCCTCTCTCGTGGGTCATTGGTTAAACTGGGAGCATGGCTATGTTAGCACTGCTTTACCATGGAAGCAGCTCTCCAGGGCCAGCATCCACTGCTCTTGAGAAAGCGGCCCAAGGACTGAGAACCTAGGAGGGAAGGGTCTGCCCAGAGCATTCTCAATCCACAGCCTGCAAGGCTAGCCTGGACTGGGCTTCCTGTGGTCTTTTCCTCATCGAGGCTGGAAATGAGCCCCTACTGTGTGGCAGTAGACAAGGGCATCAGTAATCCCTGGGAGCATGCATGCGTGTCCCCCCAGAGCCAAAGTGTCAAAGTGTCACTACCTCTCACTGAAGGGTAGTGCTTTTAGGCCCAGCAACATGGGTAGACCAGACAGATCTCAGGATCCCCATTCAACCCACAAAGAGGTTTAGGCTCTTCTGGGTGATGTTTTGTGGCCAGGTCTCCCAGCAGATGGCCAGCATAGCCAGGCTAGAATTGGTACTTTCTCCACCATAGGGCAGCCACATCGCACCTGGAGTTAGGTTCTCAGGTCCCATGGGGAGGGGGCCCAGGGCAGGTAAGGAGGATGGGAAGAATGGGGAAGGGCCAAAGGGCAGTTCAGGGTGGGTGCTACAAGTGGGTGCTGGGTGGGTGGGTTGGGAGGATAGGGCGGGCATCTAGCAGGTACAGACCTGAGGGAGAAGCCCAACCCAGTTCCTACTCCACCAACGATAAGGTGGGCCTGCCAGGGTCTGATAGACCCCTCCAGGTCCCTGGGAAGGCTGCCTGGAAAGGGCTGAGGGAACCCTACTTTCCTAGGACTCCCAGAGCTCCACCTCCTATGGCGGGCCCCCCCTCCAGCCCTCCATAGATACAGCTGCCACCTGCAACTTGGCCTAGGAGGTCCCCAGAGCACATCCTGGACACAGCTGGACCATATACTGCCGCTACTTGCCTGGAGGAGACAGGGGAAGCCACTGGCTGAGGAGGCAGCTAGGAGTCGAGAGTCCCAGCTGCTTCGCTGGATGGAGCCCCTCACTAGGCACCTGGCAGAAACAATCTACTCTGGCCAGCAGGCTGCCTACAGCGAGTCCCCCACCTCCTGGAAAACATATCCACATTCTGGGCGCTCCCGGGTGGGGAGGCCCTTGGGGTGCCCCAAACCACCACCCAAAAGATCCAAGCATACAACACTCGGTGCGTCTCTGAGGAGGTGACTGGTCAGCACTGATTTTGCTGTCCCAGTGAGGGGCCCTAGGTTCCAACCAGCCCAGTGGAGACTATGGTGCTGAGAGGTCTAACCTGTCCCGTATCTGAGGCTTGATTCTGTTCTCAAGTCCCCGCGGGACGCCTTCCTTTCTCAAGGCCTCACAGAGAGCTTAGGGACAATTCTGAGAAAAAGTCCCCCTCATCAAAGTGCTAGATCTCATGGAGGAACCTTTAGGAGGAAGCATTTTAGCCAAGCATGTGGCCCGGGGACCCTATGTCAAGGGGAGGAGGCTGCTGTTCCATGACCCACGTTTGCCTGCACTTCTGGCTGGAGTGTGACAGGGGCTCCCACTGACCGCGGCCTGTCCTCTTTCACATAGATCTTGGAGCTTCTTTGTCAGATTCTACAGACGGATTCTTTAAGTGCCATCCAATTCTGGCTGCTCTATGCACCACCAAAGGGTGAGGACACCATAATGCGGCCCCCTCTCCATGTGGAGGGGGGCTACCCATCCCTTGCCCTTGTTCCTGATCCTGCAGGACAGATGTCACTCAGCCTTTTCTCTTTTCTCCTTGGGAGTCCCAAAGCATCCCAGAGGCTTCTCATTATCATTCCTCCCTCCTCCCCTACTTCCCGGCAACATTTCTGTGGCCCTGTTCTTTGGAGGGGCCCCTCTTTAGTACTGACCGCAGACATAGGTGTATGGACGGGGATAACAGATAAAGATTGTTCCCAGCAGACCCAGCCCCTCCCGGTCACTGTAGGAAACATGCACATAAGTGCAAATACCAGAACACACAGGCTTGTGCAGAGAGCCCACAGATACATGTCTGCTTCGGAACAGTGAGGGAAAGGAGTGGGGTGAATCCCCAGAGTTTATAAGCTCACTAGAGGAAGGGATGGGAAAAAGGAAGAGTTGGAGGGCGGGGGAGATAAATCCCAGATTTCCAAATGTGATCCAGGAGGGAGGAAAGGAGGTGGGAGGAGTGGAAGGGGCCGAGTCCAAAGTGCAAATGGCTCTCATGGTAGGAGAGGGCAATGTAGAAGTGAGGGCTCAGCACACAGCTACAAGCACTGTGAGGACCTTCCTTGGGGGCAGGGGCCTATGAGGAGATGCAGAATGATTAGAGGAAGATGTCCTTCACCAGGGCTGGGACCAGCTGGTTGAGACAGGAAAGGGGCTGAGATCACTGCCCTGCACTGTTTATAGAAAAAGACTTGGCGCTGGGACTTCTGCAGACGGCGGTGGCTCAGCTCATCCCCCAGCCCCTCCCAACCCTCCCAGAGGAGAAGCTCTTGAACCAACTCCAAGAGCTTCAAGAACCTCCTCAAGAGATACAACAGGCAACCTACAGGTGGGCTCCGGGCCCCTCCTCCTGACCTTCTGTTTCCAGAACCACGCCCCCGGCGGTCAGCATCCGCCTACCCTGGCTTTGTGACCCCACCTGTCACAGCACCATAGCAAGGGGAAATGAAGGCGGAATCCTTGAAGAAGGCTGGGCTAGATGTGTCTGTGTGCTTCAGATGCAGTAGAGAGATCCTGCCTCAAGGAGTAGGGTGGGGAACATCCATGTGGGTGCAGGACGTCTGGTCCTCACATGCTAATACAGCAAGAGCCTTATGCGCTTAGTCATCTTCCCAGCTGAACACCGAGGACTGGAAACTGCAAAGTTGGGAGACTGGGAAAAGACCATCTCAGGAGGTGGGAGGTGCCCAGGGCCTGGTGGTCAAGAATGAACAGAGTGCAGGGATTAAATTGTGGGGTGCTGGGGCATGGTTAAGAAAGTGGCTTAGGTTTGGAGGAGGCATATTTTGGTGGGTGGTTGTTTTATGGGTCAGGCTGGCCTCAAACCTGCTTTGTATCTGAAGATGACCTTGAACTCAACCCTCCTGAGCCTTTGCCTCCTGAGTGGTGGGATTACAGGTGTGTACCATTTAAACAGTGCTGGGGACAGAACCCAGGCTTCCCACACGTTAGGCAAGCATTCTACCACCTGAGCTACAACCCCAGCCCTGGGACATAGGTTCTTGCTTGGGTCCTAGAGTTGGTTTTCTTTTTCTGCTTGAGAGAAGAAAGGATGCTCAGGAGCTGGGGTTCATTGGCAGACAGTTGTATAGGCCCCGGGTTCAATTCCTACTGCTGCAACACACAGTCCCAGCGGAAGAGGACGACGACAGGGAAGGCAAGCATTACTGTGCTCAGAGGAGAGACCCCAAGTCGGCCTCTTCACCTCTCTTTCAAGCCTCCTGCCAGAGGTGTGGGGGAAGTGACGTGGCTGTGTGAAGGGTAACGATAGCTAACGGATCACACGAGGTAGAAGAACATTAGTCACTTGTCCAGAACTAGCTTGACAGACAAGAGGCTGTGGGATAGACCATAGCCCTGGCTATCTCAGACAAGAGGACCTTGGTACCCCATGGCTACAGCAGACACACAATCACAACCGTCTGCTTCCTGCTTTGGAGGTGCAGGAGGCTGTCTGGGTCCATCTATGGACAGTCCCGCACCAGCTCTTCAGGAGGGGTGTCTTGCCTCTTCTACGAGCTGGTGGCTGACCACACCTCTGCCACCTCCCAACTCCTAACGAACCTACCGTCTGTAGACTCGGTCTCCCAAGCCTGTCATTTGTATTTGGTTATAGTCCATCCCTGAAGAAGATGAAGACGCCACCTCTATCCAAGACGGAGAAACCAGGTAAGAGCCCTCAAAGGGAGCTGTTTATTCTAGAGGCTCACTGAGGCCAGCTCTGGCTGGATTCCTGCCCAAGGAAGTTGGGTTACTTCTTTAATGCAGCAAACATGTATTGCATGCTTACTGTGTGTCAGGTTCTGGCGAGTCATGAGGAAAGAATTGGGACAAGTTCCTATGTGATTGGGGCTTACATCTTAGAGAGGAAGTATACAAAGGGCAGAACCCCCAGGAGGACAGCAGGTTAACTGGGGGGGGGGGCTCCCTATCCTGAGCCACAGAAATATCCAGGGAAGGCCTTGGAGTAGAGCTCCCCATGCCTGGAATACTGATGGAAGAATAAGTTGGTCGGGGTATCCAGGCCTTCTGGGTGGGGGAGAGCAGTATGAGGTAAGACAAGACCAGGCCTGTCTTTTGAAGAGTGTAGGACACTCTGGGGGGAGTAGGATGTAGTATGTCCCTGTGGTCACTGTGCAAGGCATGGATGAGGGTGGTGGTGGCAAGAAGGGACAAGGGAGCCCAGAGAGGAGGCCCTTGGAGGAGACATAGTATCTTAGACCAGACAGTGTGGGGACAGCTGGAAGGGAGAGAATGCCTGTCGACAGTGGACATGATTCTCCTTTGTCAGTGTGTAGCGTCCCAAGGGCCCAGAAGAGTGTCTGGCAGGCAATAGGTGCTTGACTCGTAAAAAAAGAACCGGGGAGTGGTAGGGCTCACAGAAGTGAGCTAGTTTGTCCCAAGTCCCCCACTGAACTGAAGGCAATGCTGGCTTTGACATTGGCCCACCTCCCTGTCAGCTCTCTTATCTCTTGCCTTTCCCGTCCTCCAGAGTTGATGGGCAAAGCCCAAGTCCTCCGCGTGCATCCCAGCGAGGACTCAGAGGAGAAAACGACCAAGTCAAAGGCCGAGAGCTGAGGAACACAGCCCAGAGCCCGGAGACTTCTGTCTAGCTCAAAGGCAGCTTCTAAGCTTGGGGCTGGGGGCTCCTGTCGCGCTATGTCAACGCCAGCCCCCAGTCTCCAGCCACACTCTACTAAATAAAATGCAGCTTTCCCCGGATGACGGCAGTTCTACCCTACCACAAGATGGTTTTAGATGATTTTACTCCATAAGTGTGGAGCTCCCTGCCATGGAGAAAGCCCGGGGTACCACTCACAGTTAGCAACGATCTTCCCACCAGTTAATGTAATCAAGATAATCTCCCACAGGCAAGCCCAGAGGCCTGTCCCGTGAGTGATTCTAGATCAGAGATTCTCAACCTGTAGGTCACGACCGCTCTGGGGGGGGGGCACCTATCAGATATGTACATTATGATTCATAACAGTAACAAAATTACAGTTATGAAATAGAGGCAAAAATAAAAATAATTATATGGTGCAGGGCTCACCACAACGTGAGGAAGGGTAGCTCTAGATCCTGCCAGACTGACGACTAACATAAACCTTCACAGTCACCATGCCTGGCTCCAGCTTTCAGTATTGAAGTGCCCCACTTTTAAAGCCCTTGGTCACCCTGTTGGTTTATTATTTCCCCCCAGTGGTAGTATAAGTGACAGCTGTGCCCATGGCTGCCTCTCTGGCTTTGTCGTCATTCTGCCACTAGCTGCTTCCACATTTACCCCCATCCATTTTTGGAAAATGTGGTCAAATATAACAGGCAAGTTATCATCTTAGCCACCCAGAAGGGGTGGTGGTTTGAATAAGAATGGCCACCTTAGGCTCATATATTTAGATGCCCAGGGAGTGGCACTATGTGAACGGATTAGTAGGTGTGGGCTGTTGGACAAAGTGTGTCAATGGGTGTGGGCTTTGAGGTTTCAAAAGTCCATGCCGGGCTCAGTCTGCCTGTCTGTCTCTGTCTCTCTCCTCTGCCCGTGGATCCAGATGTAGAACTCTCAGCACTTACATCTGTCTGCTATGACAATGGACTAAACCTCTGAAACTGTAACCAGCCCAATTAAATGCTTTCTTTTATAAGAGTTGCTGTGGTCATGGTGTCTCTTCACCACAACAGAACACTGACAAAGACGGAAGGGCAGTGGTCCCTCCATTGTGGGACCATCATCCATCTTTGAGGCTATTCCATCTTGCAGAAGTGAAACTCTGCACCTAAAGACTTTGTCTTGTCTAGTTGAACTACTACTGCAAATATGTATTGGATTAGGTTAATTCGTAGACTACCGAAGTCCATTTTGAGCTCTGGAGATTGAAAAACCCAAGGTTAAGGCTTGGGTAGGTTTGGGGCCTGGTAAGGACCTGTCACTCCTAGATGGTACTTTCTGTATGCCATGTGTGGCAGAATGGGAAGACAGACTCCCATGAGCCCCTTTATAAGGGTCCCTATTCACTTCCTATTCATGGAGACGGAACCTGCATGAGCCAACCCTTCCCAAAGGCCTACGTTTCAAATTGAGACAGGGGCTCACCATTTAGCCCAGACAGGCTTTGAACTCCAAATCCTCCTGCTTCAGTCTATAAAGTGCTGGGGCTACAAACTGTGAGCCACCATGCCTGGTCAAGTACCAATTTCTTAATACTACCAGCCACCTTGGGGACACACTACCTAATATTATCACCTTCCAACATATGAATTTGGGAGGATAGGGGGGAAACACACATTCAGACCATAGCGCCCACAAAACAGTAAGCCCCCACTCCCCTCTTCTCAACTCTTGGAAACCACCCTCCGGTTTTGTGTCTGAGACTGGAACAGTTCTCAGGCGTCCACTCGTATAATCTTCTTTGTCTTCCTGTGTCAGGTTTATTTTGCTTGGCATAACTTCTTCAAGAGTCAAACAAGCTGTGACGTGTGTCACAGTCGCCTGCCACTCGCTTTTATTGGTGTAGCAGTCAAGTTCTCCCGCCCGGACCACACAGCGTCATCAAGGTCTGAGCCCCACCGAGAATCTGTTCATAGCGCAGGGAACATAAATACCATCACCTGTCTTCACTAACAGGTGAACTAACAAAGTATCCACATAGTAAATGAATCCTAGACGACACTTGCTTCAATAATAAATAACCCCAGTTGGCATGAAAACCCTGACACTATGGTGGGCCTGTCTTTAATTTCTCAAGGTGTACTCCTGGGGGTGCGGGGGAGCTGCCACTGTAGATTCTCATGGTTTCAGTCCCTGGTCAGTGGCTACCCTGCTCTATCTAGGCCTGAGAGGCAGAGCGTCAGGATAACAAATGTAAAGGAGGTAGAGGCGGATGCTCATTGCAGCCAAGAAGCAGAGAGAACAGAATGGAGGCTGGGACAAGACGGAGCCTCCAAGGACACGCCCCCTTCATTGGGTGCCTCCCTCCAGCTAGTCCGCAAGTTCCCATCCCAACCCCAAAAGTTCCCATCGCCTCCCAACAACTGGAATCCATCAATGGGTTAGTCCTGAGGTAGGAGCCTCTTGCAATTTAATCACTTGGAGTTGAAAAGGTTTAGCAATTTGCAGGTTCAGGAAGGCGACTCTACCTGGCATGTCTACTCTCCTCTTCCAAGGTTTGCATAAAGCCCAGCTCTGTCCAACCAGAGCCTAGTCAGTCCTTTGGCACAGGACTGGTTAATGGGGGTAGTTAAGTACTGGGCCAAGCACAAGCTACTTGGGAAGATTTTGTGCTGAACGTCACAGGATGCTGTCTATCACTGGTCATCACCACTCCATGAAGACAAGTGCCGGACACATCTCACTGTTTGTCCCTGGTTCTCTCACATTCGTTCCCACACGTGAAGTGTTAAAATACCAAGTGTTGCTGGGTTGTTGCGGTGCGTGCCTTTAATCCCAGCAGCAGAGGCAAGGAGATCTCTGTGTTCAAGGCCAGCCTAATCTACGGGGCAAATTCCAGGGTGGCCAAGGCTACCCGCAGAAATCCTGTCTTAAAAAAACAAACAAAAACCAAAGACAAGTGCTAATAAGTGTTAACTTTTATGCTTACCTTCTTCACCGTAAGAGCACAGCTCAGAAGCATCAAGAATGTTCTAACTGTTGGGGAATCTTCCTCATCCTCTCCCAGAGCAGCAAAACTGAACCTCTACTGCCATTAAACAGGAACTCTCTCCTCCGTCCTCCAAGCCACTCCCAGCCCTGGTTCCTTGTTTTGTTTCGGACAAAGGCGGCGCCTTTGGAGCACCTGGAGTTTCCTGACTGGCTTATTCCACCTAACAATGCTTTCAAGGTTCATTTATGTAGCGTTTACGTCTGGATTTCCTACCTTTTGGAAGCTAAATAATATTCCACCATGTGGACAGATCACATATTTTGGGTTGGTGTTGGGGTGTGTATATGCGCACGTGAAAGCACATGCCCGTGTGTGCGTGCGTGCGTGCGTGAGTGTGTTGCACGTGCTAGGAAACTGCTCTACTGCTGTGGAATATTATTTTAACTAGGCAAAGATGTGTTACATTTGTTTATGCTGCAGAGTATTTAACTGTGTAAAGGTGTGTTACTTTTTTTATGCTGCATTTGTTTAATGATATAAAGATGTGTTGCATCTGGTTCACATTGCCTGCCTAAGGCACCTGTTGTTCTAATTAAAAGCTCAACATCCATAGCTAGGCAGAAGAGGGATAGACAAGGCTGGCTGGCAGAGGGAATACAGAGGAGGAGAAATCTAGGCTCGGGAGAAGAAGAGAATGAGGGGAAAGGAAGGGACATGCCTAGGGCAAGGAGTCAGGCAACTGCCAGACGGACAGATCTGAGCAGCAGTGAAAGTAGTTTATACAGAAGGAAAGAAAAGCAAAAAGCCCCAAGGCAAAAGGTAGATAAAGAGAAATCAGCTACTTTAAGTTAAAAGAGCTTTCCAGAAACGAGGCTAAGCCAGGCTGATTATTCAAAACTAGTACGTCTCTGTGCCATGACTTGGGAGCTGGTTGGTGGCCCCCAAAGAAAAAGCCTGGTACACTCTCCCACTAAATTACATTCCCTGTCCTGCCCCTGGACCACATTGTTGATGTATTTATTCCTCTGATATATGATGTTAGGCGGGTCCCACTTTTGCCTGTTGCATATACTAATTCTCTGGGGCTAAGCATCACAAGGATAGCAGGCAGAGCACTGTGAGTTTGAGGCCAGCCTGGTCTACAAGAGCTAGTCCAGTCCAAAGCCACAGAGAAACCCTGTCTCGAAAAACAAAACCCAAACAACAACAACAACAACAAAAAAAAAGAATTGGGTAGGGAGGGGGAGAGGATCTGGAAGGACTTGGGGGAGGGAAAGAATGTGAAATAGGAAAAAAGTAATGTAAATTAAAAGGTCCCACTTACTCTAAATAAAACAAAACGTTCCTCTGCATCACCTCAGTTCATCTATTCGGCTACCAGAACATTCTGATCACACCTTGGAGAGTGCTGATGGGAAGAGATGGCGAAACAGTGCTACAGTGAAAATAGTTCTGTGGACGTACACAGGAATGTTCCAGTGCCTGGTTCTCCCACCAGTCTGCTTGCTCAACAATCAGGCTCCTCCCCCGTTCCACTTCACTAGATGAGAAAGGGACAGAGAAACATTTTCATCAGTGACAGGGAAGTCTGTCCCACAGTCTGGCTTCCAATGCAGGACAGACAGGGAGCACGGCCTTGAACTCTTGATCTTTGTATTTCCACTTCCCCTGCGCTGGGACTACAGGTACTCAACCAAGCCTGGTTTCATCTTCAATTCTTAAATATTTAATCTACACAGAACAACTAGGAGGTTGATACTCTTGTTAAAATTAGATAAGGCGCTTAAAGAAACAATGTGTGGGCTTGGGAGACTGCTGAATGACCTGGGTTTGGATACTCAGAACCCACAGAAAAGCTAGGCACATCAGTGTACATCTGTAACCCCGGCACTTCTGTCGAGATGGGCGAGAGAGACAGGAGATTATTTAGAAGCCCACGGGTCAGCTCTCCTGGTACACAACGCAGTAGATTCCAAGGGACCCTGTCTCAAAAGAAGGCTAGGACTGGCACCTGAGGTCTTCTGACCTCCACACACATGGGCATAATAATAGCAGTGATCTTACCATGAGGACTCAAAGACATAATCTATAGAAAGTGCTACACAGGATGCTGCTTTTAACAGGCATCAGTGGCCCATGCTTTTAATCAGCACACAAATCCAAAAAACAACTCAGGCCCAGAGAGGGCTGAAGTGCTTGTTTTGAACATACACCACCAGACCTGAGTCTGCTCTGGACACTACAGGAGTGCCCAGTTCTTGTTCTTGGCAAAAGCTCTCAGGCAGTACACCCTTGTTTTCATGGTTTGCCTGGAGTTCAAGAGCCCTACTCAGCTCTCTCACAGGCCCTGGCTGCCCACTCTGGAGTACTCTGACACCATGCTCAATGATCCTGCGCCAGCAGCCTCCAGGCTGGGAGAAGTTCCCAGGCTCTTTCCATGTCTCTTGGCCACACCATTGCCCAGTGAGTGTCTAGCTCAATTGCCTCTTTTGCAGTAGCGAAGCCCGCTGGAAGGGAAGCTATGCCCGTAGTCACACAGTAGGAAGCTCAGTGACACCCCTGTTAGGCCTTTACTCATAGATCTGCTTTTCAGTTATGCTGTTTTCAAGGCGTTCAAGATAAATAAGTGTATTCCCCCTCCCCCCCACCTCCCCAACCACTCCATCACTTCCTGATGTACGGTCTCTTGTAACCCAGGCTGACCTCGAACTATATAGCATTGGACTTTAAGTTCTGGATTTTTCTGACTCCACTTGCCCAAGTGGTGGGATTACAGGCACACACTACCACATCTCGATGACGTGATGATGGAGAGGGAACACCGGACTTCCTGCAGGGAAGATGGATTAGTTGGCTTCTCTGTTGCTCTTATGAAACACTCACCAAAAGCAGCTTGGGGCCGAAAGGGTTTATTTGGCTTACATGCCCTGATCGCGGTCATCTGAGGAAGTCAGAGGCAGAAACCATGGAGGAAAGTATTTTTTCTGGACTTATTCAACTGGATTTCTTATACCATCCAGAACCACCTGGCCAGGAGTGGAACTGT